ATCATGTCGCTTATTTATCAGATCCCGGACCCTCTGTGGTTTCTGGTCGGTCATGCTCTGGAGTTTTTGAAAATCATCCAAAGCGATAACCATACAACGAAAGAAGACTGAGACCACACAAAAGGCCACACCATCTTGGTCTTCATATCTTCGGTTTATAGAATTTAGTTTATTTCTTAATTACACCCTAAAAAGTTTTTTCTGCCAAAAATAAATTGGATTGAAGTAGGCTTAGCATATTTTTAAAAATAGATTACTTCATATATCTAGATTACTGATATCTTATTTCCTAAATTTGCACAGTTTTACCACCAAAAAGACCTCATTTCTCTAGCAGATATCTTTGCTACTTATAGAAGCATTCATGTCTCTATAATTTTTTTTAATTTTATACATCATTTTGAGCTTGCGATTTTGTCCCTTATTGAGAAGATGACTATTACTTAAAATTTTCTCATTACATTTTTCTGATTCACATAATATTAGGTATCTGCCATATTCGAGAATTCGGTGTATATTTATTTACTTATTCCTGCTTAGTTAACAAGAAATGCAAATATTTGCCTGCATATTTGCGTGTCTCATGTTCTTTTTTTATCAATCTTTCTTTGTATAGGGCTGTGATCCAGTGATTCCATGTGCATCTCATTTTGACACCATTCAGGCGATGCATTCTTCTGTTATTTCACAACACCTAGACTCGATGACTGCAACTCTCAAAGCTACTGAAAGACGACTTTTAATTCAAAAAGCCAGTCTTTTTAGACGTGTTAGTTACTCAAAGTTTTAATTTTCTGTATTTGATTAATTTTTTAAATTTTTATGCTCATATATATATATATATATATATATTTGTTAATTAATCGTTCTAAGACTTTACATTTCCTAATCTGTGATTTCTATACACCACACTAAACATTTGGGTGAGTGTGCTTTGGTTGCACTCGCTCCAATAATCTTACTCGGATGAATTTGACCAGAGTTCAGCATGAGCTCTAGCCATCATTGACCCTTATCCTCATAACAATTTTTTATTTAGCTTTGCCCCATTTGTTAACCTGGTACTTATTGAAAAGTTGAATAGCTTTTTTTCCTATCATTATTTTTCAATGTTTCATTCATTTTACTATCACTAGCTATTGACTCGAGACAACCTGGATTATGTGCTGAGCCAACGTATACAAAAACCCCAAACTCGAGCCATTTCCTCAGTGGTGATCAAAACGCCCAATTTTGACTGCACCTTGGCCTCATCCAAGACCAATCAGTTTCCTGGTTCTGTTAGTAATGGTTATACTGACCTAGCTAAATCAACAACTAGCACCATCGCTTCTCCAACTCTTCAGGAATCTTTACAGAAATCGTCTGATATCAATAATGAGTTTATAGTCCCAACCTATTCCACTGTATTAACGACCTCTAACTGGACAGTTCCTTCGACTATAGCTTCAATTATCGACCCTACTTCTAGTAGGAGTGTTGATGCTGTCAGTAATAATGGGGGCGCCATAGCTAGGTCAAGAAACAAATTGACAAACTCGCAGCGCGATCGCCGTCGTTGCCACTCTGGTAGTATGCGACTTGTTGACCAAATGGTTGGTCAGATCTGGGCCTATCGCCGAGATGTTGATGTAAACAGAGAATTCATCGCGATCCTTAAAGGTTGGTGTGCTTGATTCTGAGGTTTCAGAGGATTAGGTTAGAGAGGCTGTTTATGTCCATTATATCTTCTTCATACCATAAAATAAGATGTATTTTTGACTTATAAAGGAATATTCATGAGTCGTGTTTGTTTGTCATTGAACTAAGCATTCTTTATCAAACATTCCAGAATCATGTAGTAGTCATCCTAGTCGTGGTCATAGCTTCATTCTAAGCTAAATAATGTGCATTAAAAAAAATTGGCCTTAATATCCGTTTTAAAATAGTAATCACTGTTTACTTTGTAGAATACAACCTTGACCCGAGTAATTTGTATTTGAATGACTGGCGTGCATTCTCATATCTGGGTTGTTCTCTTTTATTTTTACTTTGCTAAAGCTTTTTAACTTGAACATTTACCTGAGCTAATCTGATATACTATTGAGCATCTTATTGAGTTCGAACTCAATGCCTGTTTTATTGTAACCATTTTTGTAAATTACTAGACCCCGCCTCCGGTTCTGAATTTAAGCCAATGTCTAGGCTTCTTTTTTTATACATGAACATAATTAAGAGCATACTTGCACAGTCACACAGACCCGCGTTAATACGTGCTAATACT